CCAAAAGGAACTGTTTTTCCCACCTGTAGCCCCAAAAGTTCATTCACCCTTCTTCTTCTGCAGGATTCATTTGCTATAACTCTCAAGTGGACTTGAAAGTGTGTGTCAGTGCATGTGTGTATGCCTGTGTGATAGAGGCCCTCTGTTAAACCAACAGAGACCCAGGGGGGCTCTGGCCCTCCCCTCTCCTTTATGCCTCCTGCAGGCATGCCTGTAGGGACCTTTTTGTTTGTGTAGAGCAAGCAGAAACAATAAGATACATTTTAATGTGACTTCAGAGCAGTTTGTGCACAGGGGGCTAAGACAACCCTTACGTACAGCCCCTACTTGTTGAAGATACCCCCAGCCTTTTTCAAAGAGAGCAAAGGAATTTGATTTGCCTTGTATTTTGGTGTGGAGTGTGGCAACGCAGCAATCCTTTCAGCAAAAATTACGTTTGATAATAATTAGATAATGGATGGATGGATGGTTTAGCTATTTGGAACTGGCAGTTGAAACATAATGCTGCTTCCAAATGTTCACTGCCACAACATTATTCCTATATTTGTGACTAAAAAAATGCTCCACCCAAAATCTTTTCAACGTCAAACTGCCATTCACTCTATTAAGGTGCCGTTAACTTCCACATGGACCAAAAGAACTGTGAATAGCTGGGACAGATGGGTCATGAGTGGTATTCAGGGCAAGTGACAACAGGAAGCCTTGGGTGGGAAGGGAGGCAGTGGACACTGTTGTTTATTGCAAATCTCTCCTACTGTGGTTTGACACTGAACAATAACAATAAGTAACACTGATAGAAAGTTTTGAGAAGAAAATAACAGAGCTCATAACCTCTGCTACTTTTTTCTGTCATTAACAACAGGAACCTCCTTGAGTGTCCTCATGATGAAAATGGAAAACACAAGCTCGTTTGAAAGCATCATCGCTGTCTGGCATTACATTTCATCCAAAACATAGTGTGTACGCAAAACACTTGCAAATGAATGAAGGGGGCCTGGTTTTAAATTGTATTTTATTTATTTTTTACTTATGGGGACTGAAAACAGGAGCATACAACCAACTTACTTGTGGGGACCAGAGTCCTGTCCCCATAGTATAGTTTGTTGAATTTTAATAAAACACCACTATGTACAGTTAGACCAAGCATTGGCTTTGGTTAAAGTTGGGGTAAGGCTTAGGATTAGGCAAGTAACAGTTATGGTTAAAGGATAAGGTCTGTCATTTCCTATATTAATAGTATTTTCAATAATCCCTATACAAAGGTGGAGGCACAGAGGTCAGTGGTACAGAGGAATAAGATAATCTGACAGCTTGACAGACATTAGCCTTGAGTAGAGATAGGTCACTGCTGGTTTTAGTCTCTGTATGGGGAGTGTTGAAAAACTGTCAATACAGAAAATGAGTGGCCTTATCCTTTAAGGTAAATGAATGTAAGTCTATGGAGGGGCTCAGTAGGTGACATAAACAAGGGTGTGTGTGTGCGAGGTCCAAACAGACTGTATGTGCCAAAAAGGAGATAACATTTTACCCTCCGTCTCTCTCTCTCAGTCTTTCTTAATGCCACTCGCCCTGTACCTCGCTCCGTGTCCCTGGTTGTTTTGCAGAGGGTACAGTCTTTGGGTTGCAAAGCATCAATATGTCCGACAGCTGTGGGACAGATCTGCAGCTGTGTGTGTTAGGGTCGTCCGTTGGCAGGAAGCAGTAGGCAGCGAGTGATGTGGTCAGACCCTCTGTCACCAGAGAGAGGGGGAGAGGGAAGTCCTTTGTCTTTCTCTTCTTCTTCTTCTCTTCTTCCTGTTGCTTGTTTTCTTTTCCTGATCATCGTTTTTCATTAGAAAAAGAAAAAACAGGCAGAGACTCGTTTAGCCTGGTGAAGGCTGATACTGATGAGTGCCACACTGGTGCTGATAATCATGTGCACAGATTGAGTTTTTTTCAGTTTGACAAAGTTATATTACTAAAGAGAAATAAAACCAAAAATGCAGTTTGTTTCTAGACCATGTGTTTTACTGTTAAAATCAGGACTCATGGGATCATAAAGTCCAATAAACTTGATCATAAAAACATTTTTGGAATCTGATCAAAATGTATTAGAGAGGCCTGTGGTTCAGAGGTTTTAAAGTCAGTGCATTGTTTAGTTTTGATCAGTTTTACAGTATGAAGGCTGGTCAGTTGTGTCGTGTCCTTCGTGTCCTACTCCAGCAAACTGTTTAATTTAACAGCTAAATGAGCTCCAGATGTGAGTGTTGCTATAAAGACTTTATCCTTTTGTCTTATTTTTCTGGTTTGTTCTTTAGTGTTGATTTTATTTCATGCTCTCTTTTAGTTTTCTTTCATTTTCAATTTCAAATTTTGATTCATTTTTGTCCGTCTTTCATGTTATTCAAATTTTATTATTTTGTCAGATTCAAATTTTTCTTTTAAATGTCATTTTCATATTTAAACTGATTTACGTGAATATCATTTCTGAAAAACAAAGCCACAAACAAAACACAAAAGAAATAAACATGAAAAGGTTGAAAGACAAGCAGGGACTTTTCCTCACTTGATTTATTTAGTTGAAGAGGCAGTGAAAAGTGATGGAAAAAGTAAAGAGAGAGAGATCAATGTGGAAAATCATTTTTGTAAATACAATGTGGAAATCAAAGGGAAGGAGGAAGGGGGGAGGTGAGTGAGTAGGAGGTAAATTGAGGGAGTCAGGGGGCAATTATGGGAATTTCCAGTGTTAGTGAGTGAGTGAGTTTTTGCTCAAACAGAGAAACAGGATGGATGAGAGCTATGAGTTTTTTGCATATACTGAATATATTTTATTGTACTGATGCATGCCGTGATTATTGACAGCACAGAGAGAGGGTGATATAGTGAAAAGAAAAAGAAGGAGAAGAAAGATGAGAGAGATTTTAGACAAACACCTAGTTATGGCTGATTTAGGCTGGCTTCATACTACAGGACAATTGGGGCGCGGTTTGCTCTTCCTGACCATCGTGGCATCAACATGAGGCTGCTCAGAACTGATTCTCAGGCTAAATAATCCTGTTGTGTGAGGTGTTGAAAGACCTAATCGTTATGCCTCCGACAGGATGGGAGCTACCTTGAACCTTAAGTATCAAGCATGCTTATAGTTACGACTTGGAATCCTGCAGTGAGGGGGCAACAGCGACTGAATCCTGACCAGACATCCACAACAGCCAGTGGCAGCGAGCTGGCCAAGAAGCATCACAACCGGATGTTAACATTAGCTTGTAGCATTAGCTTGCACTACCTTCCAACTCACACCCAGCTCATGCTGCAAAATGTGTAAGCTATGTTGGTTTTGTCTTTTCAGCCAAAACGTCATCCACAATTATTTTCACCTCTTCTTTTTCTCTGCACAAAACATAGCACACATGCAAGTGCTACCACTTGATGACAAACGTGCACCTCCACGTTTGTTCTGTTCTGAAATCACCTTTGATCAGTTTCTCTAAGATCCCTGAAATCATTCAGTAAAAATGACAAGTGTGTGGTTCTGCCTCTTGACTGAATCCTCTGGTGTGTGTGCTCTTAAAATAAAATGTGAAAAAAATCTGTCTTTATCTCGTGTTTATAAAATCGGTTAAGATCATAAAACCATCCAGTGTGGGCAAACCCTTACATGTTGTTGTCAGATTTGAATCGGCCTAGTTACTCAAAGTCAAAGTTGTGACTGAAGAAAATAAAAGACTAAAGGTTGTGAATAAATCAGTCTGAAGCTTCTGAGCAAATTATTCTTACATCACATCAGTGTATAAAGTGACTTTTCTTTTTATTGCAAAAGATTCCTTATATTTGAACTCTTCATCCAGACTAACTGCATAGATTAAATCTGAATATTCAGCAAAAATCTTTATATTACGTGTGTGGTCAGACAGGAATCAAAATCTTATATCATTTTGTTTTACAATAGGCAGCTGAATTGTCTGTCTAACAAGGAGCCGTGTCCATGCTCATCGTGAATTACATCCAGAGTCAGAGGTCTCCGTGTGCACATCATCAGTTTCATGCAGTACACTGGAGTTTGACTCATGTGACAGATCTGAAATTAATATCCAACCGCAACCACACCATCAGACCATAGCTATAGTTTGTTGGCCATATAGTCACAATCTATAGATCACCTTTCAGTTTTCCTGAATCATCCAGCATTCTTGTCCTGAATAAAGACTGTACAAAAAATGTACACAGCAGACAGACACACGCGTCTGGATGACAACAGCTATCACTTTAATCTGTGTATTCCAGGTCTGATATACAGAAAATGTGGACAGAAAACACAATGGCATACAGTAGAGGAATGTACATGTACAATCATTAAGCCTTTCTCTTTGTCCCTTTTCCTCCATATCCAGCTTGTTCCTTCATTAAAAGCTTTGTCAACAGGTCAGCCAGGAAAGCCGATTCGAATGTCAATTACAAATTGGAATTAAGCCATTAAAGAGAGAGAAAGTCAAAGAGAGAGAAACAAAGAGGGAAAGGGGAGAGGGAGCTACAGAGTGAGACAGAGGAACAAGAAGAGAGCGAGAGACACAGACAAACACTCAGAAGGAAGAGAGAGGACGTTTAAGGCCAGACCAGTCCTGCCCCCTAGAGGCAGTGTGTGTTTGTGTGTACAGTATGTGTTTTCCTGGGGAAGCGAGGGACATCCTGTGACATGCACTCAATTTGTGCCTTTGAAGCTACTAACAGACACCCCACACACACACACCAACACCCAAATCATCACTGAAGCAAAACTTTTTTTTTGAAGCAGAAAAAAGTTGTTTTCAGTGTGTACGTGCATGTGTGTGTACCTCATGGCCTCAGGTGAAAGCGCCTGCTGTGTGTGTGTGTGTGTGTGTGTGTGTGTGCAAAGGGGGAAGTAGAGTGGGCCGTCCAAGGGGCGGGGCAGGTGGCAGGGGGCGGGGCCATGGCAGAGAGAGAGGCACCCTCTTTCCAACTTAGTTGGAGAGATGTTGATTTTGTCAGGCATTTGAGCGCAGGACTCTGAGTGGATCTCACACACACACACACACACAGAGTCAGACCAGTGTGGAGTATCAGCGCTCGGCGCAGGACAGATAGAGAGGGAGAACTGCACCTGTCCCACACACACACTCTGTCCTCACACACACGTACTGAGGATCTGACCGGTCGTCCCTATGTGTGGATGGGACCAAAGCTACACGGTGAGTACGGAGCAGCTCATAACACCGTCTCAATTTTAACATTTTTACCAGATTTACTTTACTTCTAGAGGACTTTTTCAGATTTTTTTTTTAATTACATTTTTTAATTTAGAAATTATGTTAAAGTTTCTGGATTATTTAAACAAACCAAAATGATATGTAAAAAAAAGACAATGTTGGCCTTTTAAATCAAAATTAATTCACTTTTAAAGTCATCTTTAATCTGATTTTTTGCCTTTTTAATGCTTATTTCTGACTTCACATTCAAGGAGGGTTTTATTTCTGACTTGAAACTAAGGCAAACCTTTATACTGTATGTCTGGTTTATATTTCTGACATAATTAAGTTTTTTATTTAAAATCCTGCTGATGAGTGAGTGAGTGTTGCAATAGTTTGGATTGTTAACTGCCACTTGGAGGTATTTTGAGAGTTTGAACTGTCTTTTTGCAAGTTTGTTCTGCACTTTAGTTTGGAATTTATGGCTTTTCTTACACTTGAAGGAGTTTGCATTTCTGTTTTAATGAAGACATTTGAACTCAGAGCTAAAGTTTAGCTGTAAAGCATTTTCAAACATTAGTTTTAAATCCTCATGGGCTTAAAATAAAGAGATTGAGAATGATTTTCCTTGAGTGGTGATTAAAGAGCTGACTTATTAATTTGCACCTTATTTTGCAATTCCTCTGACTGTGTGCAGACTCAGCCTTTGTGTTTTCAGTTGGTCTAAATCTGTGAACTGAATTGTTTCTTGGTTCTTGGTTTCACTATTAGTTTTCAGTGTTGCAGCTGTTATGCAAAGATAATTCTGACTTTTGCTGAGAGGTGAAATATTGAAAGACATTTCCATATCTTATCAGTTTTAAGGTGTTTCATTTAAATGGCAAATTGAGCAGAAACTGTTGTTCTGCTGCTGCGTTCTTTGTGAGGAAATCTGCAGTCAGTGTCGGCGGGAGATTTGGTTTTCTTGCTGGAAATTTCATAATTTAACAAGATGGATTTTCTGGGAATTGAATGTAATTTTAATGGTTTGCTTTGATTAAGTTTTCTGAGTAGTTTTAGTGCTAAAGGGCCCAGGCTGTATTTGGAACAGAGTAGATCAACTTTTTCTTAATAATTCAGGTTTTAAGGGACATTTACATCAGCATTGTCTTGCCAGTTTACCATAATAAGGTTTTCTGTGTGATGTGCTAGAGCTCAAAAATCAGACGAATTACTACAAAAATGAAATGACAGTGAGGCACATGTTCATGACAGTATGTGGCTCCTGGAAGAGATCTTAATGTGAAAATGTTAGTTTTTAATTTATTGTTTCTCAGTAACCAGTTTTAGTTAGTTTAGTTTTAGTTGATCTCTTTGTGTCACTTCTTGGTGCTGTTTGGAGGGAAATCATTAGCTGTGTCTGGAGCCACTTGGATGTAAAATCATTTTCTTACTTGCGGCTGCAGAAGAATTCACAGAGCCGAGTGTGGTCGCCAGAGATCTGTTGCTTTTAGCCCGTCTGCATGGGACGAGCGGCATGTTTTTCCCTGTGGATATCTGCCTCTGTGTGTGTGTGGGATTGTCTTGGGTGGGATCATGTTTGAAGTTTTGTTTGCGCTGCTGTGGCCCCCCAAATGGAAAAGTTTTGGCGCTCCCTTCCTCATCCCCCATTTCCCCCCACCAGCATTACCAAAACACTCACAAGCACACACACGCTGCGCTGGCAGTAGGGATGATTTGCCGGTTCCGCTGCAGTGCCACTCTGCTTCCAATTTTAGCTTCATTCAGACACAGACAGTGCTTCCTTCCTTTTTCTTGAACCCCAGGGAAACACTGGGGCGGGGGGCGTTGAGGGAGGATACAAAGGAGATTTTAGGTGCATATAATTTGAGTAAAGCCACCACATTGTGGAGCAAACTCAGAAATTTCTCATGCACATAGAAAGCGTCTGAGTTGCACTTTCACTGTGTTTCCATATAAAAATTAATCAAACACAAAGTAAAGGACAAAGATGGCAAAGGAAATATGAAAAGTGTCTTTGCTTCAAGGAGAATGAGACAGCAGCAAGAGGACACAGAGGAATGTGTTCAAAAGACTGAACTTGCATTCAGTTAACCAAAGTTTTCCATTTTTGACTAATATTTTTAACGTGCCATGTTTGATTTTGTCATTTTATACCAAATGAACATCACCATTAAAAACAAAATAATCAAGGATCATCAAGAGAAACCAGTGTGATCTTATTTTATTGCTTCATGTGGATTTCCTCTTCCATCCTCTGTTTGATCAAAGTCTCCTATGTCAGACTGAGTCATTTCAGATTTCACCTTGTGGTGAAACAAGAACATCAGCTAGTTCAGTTAATTTTGAAGCTTAATAAGGCCAAAGTTGATCTGTGCATATAAAACACAGTGGAAGGCAAAAAATATGATTTTGGCCAAAACAAAACACTAAGAGATAAAACAATGACAGCTCTGTGCTTGGATGCGTTTCAGGAAATAAAGTCAAAATTATTTTATCAGCCTTATTTATTCATGTAAAATGATGATTTTTGCAGGTTTTAGCCCATGCTTGTTTCTCAGATTAGTTTTCTGTAAATAGTCGACAAGACAAACAATTTCCTGTCTGTTAATAAGTGTGTGTGTGTGAGAGAGAGCAGGGTTAGTCAGAACCCCCACCCCCCACCCCACCCCCCCACACCCCCCACTGAGTCACTGCACATAATAATCCTAGCTCTTCCTCTTCTATTTTTCTCCCTTCATCCTTTCATCTCTGCCTGTTTTCATCTCCTTTCATGCTGATTCTCTTCTTTCTTTCCTCTTTTTAGTTCTTATCTTTTCCTCCCACATCTCCTTTTTTCTTACTTTTGTTATCTTTTTTCCACATAGTCCACCGCCTCACTGACTCTGTTTTCATCTTTCTTTTCCCCCGTTCTCTTATCTTTTGCTTTTGTTTTATTATTCTCCCTTTGTCTATCATAGTTTATTCTTCCTTTTTTCTTTCTTTTCATCAAACATTTTTCTTGTTGATACTCTTGTTGCACTTTTATAAATTTTCATTGGT